AAAAAAAAAAACAGCTATTTCTAATCGATGGTACAGCATCGAAATATATATTTTTCGAAAAATACTCACCTTACAAATGATATCCACTTATCATAGAGTGTTTTATGTTTTTTCTGGTCTGGAAACGAAAAGAATCGGCAGCAGTGGCTTTCAGATGTGTGATTGCAATCTGGATGAAAACACTGGCCCATCGCAAACTTCGTCTCCGTGGCGTTTTGACTCGAATTATTGCTCACCAGGTGCTTTTGTCCGCTTATTATACTCTTCAATAGTAAGGCCAAAGGTTATCTTGATTCTCTTTATCTTATTTCTATTATTGGAGGATAAAATGCGCTATTATAGCTCTTGAAGTGTTCGAGGTCAACGACAATGTGTCACGCTAGGGACGCCATATTGGTTTGTTTAGACCACAGAATTCCGGTGCTATGGAAACGTGACGTAAGCACTTTAGGACTCTATTGACACCACGCTTCCTGCAGTCCCCTCTACAGCCCTAATTTGAACCCGTCATGCAACGCTCTCTCTCCAACGTTGCGTGACGAGACCAAACAACGACCTGCTCGTAGACTATAATAATGCTTACTGCCGCCTCTTCGTCAGAGACAAAACCGTAATTATTATTCTGGCCGTAAAAGACCCCATTCATTAATTCCGTCTGGTTTTTCCTGTCCACAAAAATGCACAATAGGCGTTACGAAGCACTTTTTAATTGGCGTACAGCAATATGGTGGACATAGTCTGGGTGGTAAGACCAAATAAAACGAGAATTTTAATTTTATTCGACGTAAACACAACGTTACAAAATCCTTTCTCTCCTCGCTCGCAAGCAGTCTTGGGTATAGCGTTACAACAGTTGCGATGGCCAGCGGCCGCTCCAGTGAGTTAATAAGACGAACGACAACCTAAAAACAACCTAAATGAACCTAGATGTAGCCACGAGAGTTATTTTTTATCGGTTCTGTCGTTCGTCTTTGTTATTTGTAGTTAGTGTAAATAGTTCTCGTCTTCATAGTTCAGTTCTGTATTTATTAGTTTGTATTTTTTCGTGCTGTCAAAATGTAAACTAAGTTTGTCAGCGTTGTTTTATGTAATCGCTTTTGAGTATTGTGTAGCCTTGTTTAGTCTATTGTTTTAGACTTTATCCGCTATCTAAAGTCGTAGTTTGTAATTTTCATTTAGTCGTTGTTATTCCGGAGTGCCGTACAGATCTTGTAAGTAGTTACGCTTTCGTTTGTATTTTCCTGTATTTTTTGCATTCCTTTTCGTTGTATTTTAGTTTGTATTTTCGTCGCCGAAATTGTCAAAAAAAAAAAAAAAACCAACTTTGTAAGTCCATCCTACACACTTCTTTTCTCGCGCCGGATCAGAGCGGGCGATCCCAATCGGGTAAGATGGGCCCATCTTGCCCGCTCGGGTAGCCAATTCGCTTCATCTTTCCCGAAGGCGCTGCTAGCCATGTAATAGAAGTTATTTACAAACAAATATTTGCTTAGACTCCGATTTACTGGTGATCCATTTTAATGCTATTTAAAAAAATTAATTGCCCTTGACATCATCCCCTAAGACAATTGGTGTTTCCTTTGCAGAAACTCATCAACATGAAAATTTATGACAAGCAGTTGTACGCAAACGTCGAGGATTAAGTCGTGTAGACACGAAGTCGACAATTTACCGATGATTCTCTCTCTTTAAGGTTGCAGTTACCTAACATGTTGTGTCGACTCTTTAATTAAAGACCCCTCGTGCAAAGGAAATTTGCAAACAGCTTTCAAGGTTCAACGTTACACAACCAAAATATTATCCAAATTTATTTTATCAGCATTTAATAATCATAATTTCTACACAGTAAAGATCCAATAAACGACAATACTTCAGTATCAGCGTGACAAAAACCTAGTTCAACAGGAAGTTGCAGAAAGTCACGAGACTATTACAGGTGGAACGAATGCATCTCTCCATAGATGGATTGCAAAATAGAAAGCTTAGGGTAATTGTTTCGCACTGAATGTTTGTAGTGAATATCAACGCAATTATTACAACTGTAGTTACTAACTGTAACTGAGGTCACTAAAACGGCTATCAGTATATAAGAATGTAGTTAACCGGGTAACAGGCTACAATATCTTGTGTTTAATTCTCGAGTAAGAACCTCGCTCTGAACAACAAGAGATCACCGATTCGGATTTTCATTCAATCCTATTTCTCTTCTTTCAAAAGCAAGCACGAAACGTTGCCTTGTATTTGCATACAATCGAGCTCAACAGCCATTGCTGAGTTATATGTCATAGGGGTGAGAGGGGGTGATCCTTGTGTTTATCAAGTTTATCAGTTAAACCTAATACACACAAGGATCGCATAAGGAAACGCACGTAATCCTTGAACGATGAAAGCTCTCCAGATCACGTTCAGCCAAAAATATTACAGATCTATAATCTGGCACTGAATATTCCGAGAAAAGAAGGCATTCTGCGCGATTTTCCTACTCGAGGTAACACTTGGTAGTCACTGCTTAGCTGGTACAATGCTACGCAATTTAAAGCTAATAAAAACAGACTAACGTGGCTACAATCTGGCAGCAAATCTTCTGAAATCTAAACTTATAATAAATATAGAAAAATTATCATAAAATCAACTACAACTCTAAAGCATAAATCCCATTTTACATCTTTGTTATAATCGTAGTCATTAATAAAAGGACCTCGTTTAGAAACAGTGAATCACTTACTATTATCAAAAACACTTCTACGGTAATTGGAAGCAATGAATCGAGAAAAGCTCTCTGACATGTTCAATGTGCTATGCAAGCACCTATAAAGCCGTTCTAGAAACAGGAGCATACTCAGAATTCCATTCACATATGATTTGACTACAATCAGCTGTTTAATCACTAGTTTTACTCATTCTTTTAGCAATGTCTGCGCTCTTAAACACCACAGCATATACTTAAAAGTATTGATAATGGAAAAAACCACCGACCAATGATTCAATGCTACAAATAGAGAAAATTCTAGGAGTAGAACTAATACCTTCTTAATTCCCTTGTGGTATGCGCGATGCTCGATGCTCGATGATGCGCGATGTTCGATGAATTCGCAGAAAACTTACGAAAAGTATCTGATGAGTCCCTGAGCCATGACGAAACGCCGCTTCATACAAGCCACGAAAACTTTTCACAAGTACTTGACAATTTTGATTGCGTTTATTGTAGCCCGTGAACGTGCGGTTAGGAATCCTTCTTCGATAGAGGGCCAGACTGCTAACATCTTGACTTGGCGAACGGGACTTTGAGCGCGATGCTCAATAAGTTCGCTAAATTCACGTCTTCTATTTCTTAAACATTTGAGAATTAAGATAACCTAACCCAAAAACTAAAAACAAAACAAACAAAAAACAAAACAAAACAAAAAAACATGAAGGTGCACATACAAGACTCCGATCCAAAATATATAAAGAAATTATACTCCAAAAGTTCTCACTAAAAAAAAATTTAATCATATAATAATTCTACCTTTGACTAGAAATAGCATTGAAATATTTTAAAATTATTTAAAAAATAAACATCTAAAAATAAAATTGCCCCAAAAGACAGATTCGCACGAAATTTCCCAACTCCCTTTTTTTTTTAGTCTTCTCATGTTCTAAAACTTTCCTCATTGTGTCAATAATATTGGCCAACTGCAGATTCACTTTTTCAGCTGAAATAAATGAGCTAGAACTGAGTAATTTCTTAGAGATAGTCATGATCATGTAGAAATGAAAATAAACAATTTAAAAAATCGATTTTCAGTGTTGCTCTTGGAGCAGAATGCTGGATTTTTGGGATTTGTTATTATAGGAACGGTTCACTGCAATGGAAATCGGGAATCATTGTGGCTGTTCTAGGCTACAATAGGTGTTACATCAAACAGCCTTGCAATGTACACACTTACATAATGTTGTCTCTTAATTTCAACAAGAAACAAATAACAACAGTACTGGGTGTTATGACGCCCATGTATGCGTGGCTTGCCAGAAAAGGGTTAAGGAATGACAGAGCTCAGTCCTTGCCTCATAACCAAGCAAATCTGGAAAAAAAAAAAGCGAATAAAATGAAAACATCTGGAATTGACTTCTACTTTCTCTACAAGTACAAAAAAGTATTACATTATCAATGTTTTCCAGAAGTATACTTGATTAAGATGTAGAATGCTCTAGAATGTTTGACATTTCTATTTAAGTGGAGCCCATATCAAGCAGGTTTGGTCATCACTGGAAAAATTTAGATTTAATCACTTTCACCAGAGTGTGGTGAGGGTCGCACAACAGAGCGAGGCTCCTTATTAAGTGCGCCCGATATCCCACCATCCCACCCCAGGGGAGGACATCCATCACACAGTAATCTCGTGTGTGGGAAATTAACGTCTCCTACCCCAACCCTGCAGGAGACGGGACCTCCATTTATTCGTCCCTATCCGAGAAGACTAGAATATCTAACCATTTCTTGATGTTATAGAAAGGTAGCAAATTCTTCTCAACTATTTTTAAGACCCTGAGTGTTGGTCCGGCCGGGGCTCGAACCCTAATATTAGGCGGTTATATATCATGCATATTATAATTGACTACTACAATGACCGCTTGACGAAAACAAAAAACAAACGAACCCTCTGTTTTAAATCTATCACATACTAAGCTGCCGAAAAGGTTCAACCGGATAAATGCACAAACTAGCTGCCAGCTAACTGGTTAAAATAATCAAATAAGCTGGTATGCTTTAACTTGAAAACATGCACAAGCTAGCTGAATAGACCTTTTTGGCTCTCTGGTCTTATGGTTTAAAATGAGTAAACAGTAATCTAAATGGCTGCTTAAGTATGTGCCGCAGACGACATCGTATGGACGAAATTCCTTCTCTCGCCGAATTTTTCATATTCACGGATAAATCGTCACTCAAATGACTGACGTAAAAGAGAAATCGGTGACAATCAAAATGGAGTCGTTAACTGAGATCATAAACAACTCGAAGGTTCCATTCTTAGCCCTTGTTTTTATTCTTTACATAACCTATCTCCAAAATCCTTCAGAATTGATAGAGCTTCTGCTCTTTGCCGACGATACTTGTGTTTTTTATTTTCACTCCAACGCAAATACCTTAGTATCTGTGCTAAATAACAAACTAAAAAATATTGAAGTTTGTAACAAATTATCGGTGAATGTAAAGAAAACGACTCATTTTATTTTCAGGGAGATGTAACCACAACTTCTCTATCTCCCTTGGCGGCCAACTTTTAACACAAACCAACGCTACTTAAGTTTTTGGGGTATGTATTGACGAGCAGCTAACTTGGAAAGATCATATCAGCTATTTAAGTAAACAAATCTCTACATCCAAGAATGAGTTGCCAATGATCGGATCACTGAGTTTGCGCAAAGATTTCTGTGATCGTCACAGGGCAAACATTTCATTGAAGTTTGTTTTACTCATTTCACACCATGTGGCCAAATACCTAAAAAGGTCTATTGAAGGTTTAGAGCCCCAAAGATTAAAATAATGAGTGTAAAGGTGAAAGCCTCAGAAGTTGTTGCAGCTGATGTTTCGTTGGAGAGACCTAAAGAGGAAAACAGGAAAAGAACTTTTAGTTGTTCATACAGCAAATCGCTGTCATGGGTCAAAAGGGAATGGTTTCAGAACAGAATAATTTTACGTGAATTTACTTCACGGTTACCAGTTCAGTAATATTCCATCAAGAGTTTTGTTAAAGTGAATCTCTTATTACCTCCTTTTCGCGAACATTTGAAATTTTGAACATTGGAAATGATGAGCTCTGATAAGACGAATTGTTGCGGGAAAATTAAGTGATTTTTCCCTGTGGATGTTTAAGCATCTTTATTCTTTGTTTTTAGAATTTTAGCGTTCTTAATTCATGCGAGTTTCCTTCATTGCTATGTTTTAAAAAGATAAAAAGCCACAAGTAAATTTTGAATAGCCAAGTTAAATTGTACAGCTGCATCTCGGTACTTTTCTTGTTCAACTCTAGTGAAAATTTCGGTAAATATAAGTGTTTAAGGTCTTACATGAAAAAGATTAGTTCTCATGGTGGTTGGCAGCTGAGTTTGTACTCGTAATTTTAATTTCTTTTCATACGATAGTTTCCACACCAACCTTGCATAGATAAGCAGAAACTTTTAATTACTTTTCCACTCTTATTTCCTAAACTTCGCTACTGCAATTAAGATAGGTATATTTTCTATACCAGAGCTGTGAATTCTCACCAAGTTTCCTATTTTTAAAACTCGATACTTTTTCTCGCAAACCGAACGATAGCGGCAAAGAATACCACAGCAGCAGTGGCTTTTGCAAATATTTTCATAGCCAAAAATATTATCAGCAAGAGCGCAACTGAATCGCTACTTTGGAAGAGATATATTGACGACGTTTTCTGTCTGTGGAACAGAGCCAAAGACAAATAGAAGAATTAGTATGACAGGCAAACAGCTACTTCTGTCGAGAGATTATAATAGGGAACTTTAGCATCACGTTTACGGCAAACGGCGAACCTGAGGTCACGTGATCACCGCCTTGCCGTCACGTTTGCAGTTTGCGGTTCCAGTTTCGACGGGAAGAAGGCGCTCCAGCCGTTTTTTGGCCACTTAACGAAACTAACTTACGTTTGACACTTTTAGTAAGAATTTTCTACCATCTATGGATCCAAATGTCGTTTTTTTGTGATTAAAAAACAATGTATTTTGCATGATCTAAATGGAAAAAAGCCGAGTGGCGAAAGAACTTGAAAACAAAATGGCGGCTCGAAGTTCCTAAACATGTGCATGCAAAGAAGCACAGTTATGGAGTTCTGTATCAATGTATGCCTTCTTCCATTTCTA